GTTGTATTGACAGAATGGGTTGTTACACTCATTTTGTCATGTCAGAAGTCCCCCTACTAGTTGGAAGTATTGTTAACCAGTATTGATAAATTTGCTAAGAATAAAAGTTATCTGGATCAACGTTGCACTTGAATAACAACTCGCCATTTCTGGTTTTCTTTCTTGTTAGAGACCTCTGTAGCTATTAATAGGTTAGGAGGTTTACAATGACTGTTCAATTTAAAACTCTAATTTTACTATTACAAGCATTAAGATCATAGGGAATACTTAAATATGACCACAGTTTTAAACAGACAGGGTTGTGGGCTATGGCTGTACAGTGGCTCTTGGCAGTGCTGACTGATTTTCAAATGAGCAACATGAGCTGTATCTCACCTTTGTGGAAAAAGAAAGATTGCACAGTGTGCTTACCACATACTAAGGAACTGTAGCATGGATTTTTATGCAGAATTTCTCATTCCATTCTCTAAAATCATGCTATTTTTCTGTAGGTACTGATTTCAAGCAAAAGAGAAGTGACATTTGTTCTCTGTTTTTACTAAGCAGTAGCAAAGTACACATGAACACAGAACTAGTATTCTAGCAACTTTTCAGTTATTCCTTCTGCCATTGACTCCTAAGTGAAGTTTCCTACAGCCATAGGTCTCAATAGGAGCAACAGGTAATCTAGCGCAAAAAAGAAAAAAGATTTTAACATCCAAACCTTGCACTGATTGGTTAAAAATTGCATAGCACATGGGATCTTGTTGACATCATGCAATCATACTGTGTCTTCAATATTTTTAAACTTGCTCAAAAGAGGACTTGGAGCTCTGAATCAGCACTATAGGGAGAGGATACATGATTATTAGGGAGGATATTTGATTTATCTTTGCACGCTACTTCTCCTCACGCAGAAAGAAAGTCTCCATTCATACAACTGTATTCAACAACTTTAATCTTTATATATCAAAATCTCTTTTTATGGAATCATGGACTCATCTGCATTGGAAAAAGTCTTCAAGATTATTATCTAGTCCCACCATCGCCTAACTCTGTGAAGTCCACCATTAAATGACATCTCTAAGTACTACATTCACATATCCCTATTTTCAAGGGATGTCAACTCCACCACTTCCCTGGACAACCCATTCCAGTGCATAACCATTCTCTCTGTTTAGAAATTCTTCCTAATATCTGATCTAATCCTTCCCTGTTGCAACTTAAGGCTGTTGCCTCACGTTCTATCACCTCTTTTCAAGTAGATGTGGAAAGCTATGTGGTATCCCTTGAACCTCCTCTTCTCCAAACTAAACAACTGCAGTTCCTTGAGCCTCTTCTCATAAGTCTAGTTTTCCAGTCCCTTCACTGACTTTGTTTCTCTTCTCTGCAAGTGCTCAAGTAACTCAGTATCTTTCTTGTAGTGAGGGGCCGAAAATGGCAAAATAGGCAACAAAATGAATTGTTGTCTTTACAGAGAATGACTAAGGAATGCTCTTAAGCTGAAATCAAAGTTCAGTGTAAGTAAGTGAATTGTTCCAAGCTGATCATATGCTTATTAGCTTCTTAATTGTTATGGACTTGATAGATTTGCTGTAGGAAGAAACCTGAAGTGTATATCCAGGAGCTAAGAATAAATTGTTGCAATGGTATTTTCTGGCCTTTAAATCTGTGAGTGGACATGCTGCTGCTGTTTGCCTACTTTGGACTGAAGTGGTTGACTTTCCACTTCATTAAATTTGCCAGCTTGAGTGTATTTCCTAGCTCTTTCCAAAGTGCATTTTTATTTTATAGGAAATTGTACAGTGCACTCAAGATTGTTTGGAAAAAAACATTGTTACTACAAATTTATCACTAGAAATATGAGGCAACACATTTTTGAAGGCCTTTAAGCTGGTATACATACATCCAATTTAGCTCTGCAAGCTTTTGCTTGTTTGCCCATTGTTTGTAAGCTGTCTTTCTATTTATGTATGCCTATGTACACAGATGTGAATTTCCTTTAGAATCTACTTTAATAATAACTTTCCAAAGATAAACTATGTGAGGATTTGGCAGATCTAATCTATGGCATCAGAGTGTGCTAATTTACACAAATCTTTATTTGGTGGCTTTATGTCACCTTTTTATCTTAATTGTTTGGAACTGATGAGTGCACAGGACAGTTAAGCAAGTCAAATATATTGAAAGAGTTCATAGGTCTTGTTAAGTTCTGCCATTTGGATCGAGTCACTTAAAATTTACTAGAGTGAAAGGAGTCAAAGCTTGACAAGTTTAAAAAGGAGGTGTTACATTAACTTGGCTTGGGAATTTAAAAATAGGTCTCATGTCATGCAAATTACAGATCTCTGATTCCAGGAATTATATTGCACTGTAAAAATGCATTGTTGAAAAACTTAATAAATTGAGAAAATTCAGATCTGTGCTTCTAAGATCTTGAAGCAGCAAAACTCTATTTCACCAATACATGGGAATTTGCATTCATAAGCTAATTCATTCCTGCTACCATCAATGACAGGATAAAAATAATATTGGAAGAGTGTTTTTCTGCACTTCCAACTTTTGTTCTTGCAAAGTAATAAAAACTATTCAAAATTATTTTTTACATAATTGTGTAAATTCAGTACTCTGTAGGATTCAGCTACAATGATATAGTAGGATAGGCTCAATTCAGTGCAAAGGAGTAGATCTTGCAAGGCTAAATGATATTTTCAGGCCTTTTTTACACTGTTAAAAACTGATTAAAAGTTGTCTCTTTAAATATAGAAATGACTGCATGTCTTTTCCTCAAAATATATTCATATTTTATGTGCATTTTGTGCAACGTTCATCTAGTATTCATTATAAACTTCTTAAATCAGTCAAACTGTAAGGCCAGTAATAATTCCATTATCCGTCAGACTGTGTGATGTTTCCCAAATGTGGTTGAACATAACTGCTGTCGTCATAATCAGAGCCAGTTGTTTAAATGCTCAGTTGTGAGTATCTAGTGAGATAGCTTTAAATAACAAGATAAACAGTGCAGCTGCCAACCCAAAGTAATCTTACACTGAGGGGGCGTGTGGCACAGAAAATTTCCTCTTTGTCATCTTGATTTGAGTTTGAAGCTGGACCTGGGCTTAGTTCCAGCTCAAAAAACTGTTCACTTCAAAGGCTCCTAAATCGTCCCAAGGAGCTAATTTTGGCAGCCAATTGTTTTTGTTTGGCCAGGCATCCTAATAGCAAAAGCCGTCTGCTCCAGCAATTGAAGACTTCTTCAGTGCTCAGAGTCTCCATTCCTGATTTTATCCTGATGTAGGGGGTGTACACCAGTTTCCCTGTCTCACCCCAATTTCTCTGCTTTTTTTTCCTTCCCAAATTGTTAAACCAGAGCTTAACTCTCCTGGACGTAAATAGGACTATGTTTCCCATTTTCAAAAGAAAGGATAGTCTAGTCTGCTCTGAATTGCCTGAATGGACAATTTTTTCCTGCATTATGAAGGTGCTTGTGATGCCAAACACGCAATGAAAATTGAAATTCTGTGCCATTCTTAATTATAATATGAAAATATGCTAATAACCAGTTTCTGTTGGGTAAGAAGCTGGGAGGCACAATTCATTAAAGGATATCACAGAGGAAGTATTTCATTTTGAATGTATATATCTACCTTTCTGCTTTAAGATTTATGTTCTAGAGTGTTGAAGGAATCATACCAAATAAATTTAAGTATCTGATGTAAGAAAAGATATGGCCATGGTGTGGAAGTATGAAGTGCAGGAGGTTAAACTTAGGTGTTCCAAGTCAATGTTAGCATAGAGCTTACCAGAAGTCGTAGTTGCTTTGCCTGCTTATGGAGATTCAACTGAACTGTGGGGTGTGAAGTAAGTAAATATAAATTATCCAGGAAATTATAATTCTACTTCACATCACGTTTCAGAAAACAAATGTTATTGTTTTGTTTTTGAGAAAAAAACAAACTTTACAAATTGCGAAATGTGTTGTGAAGCTATACCTTTTGGCTTGGCCCCAGCCTTTTTATTAAGACTCATTGCATTTCCATAGAAGCTTTTCACAAACATCATTTTGACAGTGAAAAGTTTTCTCTTAGAAGATAACCATTAGAGCCTGGGAAGCTGATAACTCCTCTTAGCACGTTAATTGCTGAAAAGAAAAAAGATTTTAACGAACAAGTATTTTCCATGGCTGATAATATTCTTAGTATTTCAGAGTCATTGAAAATATCTTTTTTAGGAATGTTTTGATGATTCTAAATGAGTGGGCTTGCTACAGGTGTTAATTAGTAAATAGCTCAATCAGAATAATTTTTAGAATACTTAGCTTATTTGACTTTCTTCTTTGTTAGTTGTGGAGTTTTTACTCCAAGGCAAGGTTTACTTTCATTTCTCTTATTCAATGTGGATTTGTAATCATCTGCATTTTAAAAAATTCAGTGCAAGAATGAAAAAATTTCCTGGAAAAAAAAGTGCTCAGAAATTATCCTGCTTGTATTCTTTCTGCCACAATTCCATAGTCAATTTACTAGTTAATTTGATAACACTAATATTTATGTAATACACATCTTTTTTTTTGTTTTTTTTTTTAAATTCTCTCTCACGCAGCTGATTTTATATCCATATTCTAAGTTTAAACAAGGTAGAAAAGTTAAAAAATGGCAAAAATAACCTGCTCTCTTTATTTTACCTGCTTCCCACAGAGGAGAATAGAATTTTGTAAACCATGAGACATAAACGGCAGTAAATCTGCCTTCTGAGCCTGGAAATCTTTGCAATACTTATCGTTACATAGAACTGTATTTTAAATATATATTTTCTCACATCTGTATCAAGAGAATATTGTTTTCATCTCCAAACTAATGTATGTGTTATATTAAAATGTACATTTTGTCATTCATATTCTAATTTATGTAAAGAAATTTAACTAAAAGAGTATATTTAGTATTCTAAAGTACTGTGAGAAGTAAAAGGCATAGACATGAAAACTAAATTTAACATTCCTTTTTGTCTCTCTCTTCTTTCTTTAGGACTTTCAAACTGTGTTACCATCGATTGTTCTCTTCGAGAAGTTTGGAAAAACTTACTCAAAAGCTGGACAAATAGTGTAATCATTCTGTAAACTATGCAATGTAAGACACTTGATAAGTAATCAATAAATGTAATACAGCAAATGCACAGCAGTATGTTGACTGAATGTCCCATAAATTACCTTTTTGTAAAGTGATGTATACTATGTCTCAAGTACTGTTAATTGATTTTGCTTGATATTTAAGCAATACAGCTTTCAACATTAATCAAAGGTGGGTTTTTTTTTGTGTGAGCTTTTGAAAAAGAAGTCAGTATTATCTTAGGAAAATTGCATGACACTTAGAAACTATTTCTGAACATGCTATCTTTTATTTAAATGCAAATTATTTATGATACAAAACTAGAGAAATTAAGTAAAAGACTCCAAAACACACTTATTAGAGATTTGCAAGTGAGGCTAGCTCTAAAAGAGAAAAATTAAGAAAAGTTAAAAAAAAAAAAAAAAAAGTTAAGTGTATTTTTTTTTCTTTCAACTACAGATATACCCATTTCATCATTGTTCTTCATCATTTTCTCTATTAATCTACATCCTTTTTGAAATCCATCTTTTCAGAGGGACAGTGGAATTAGGTAGGCTATTTAAATGTAAGATGTTATTTCAAAATCTTTTAAGTCCTGTGTGGGTGATATAACTTTACTGTTGAACAATGAAAGTTCTATCAGCTCCATATATACCTTATTACTAAATCACTTTTTCTATATCTACTTAATTTTCTTTGTCAATATCTATGTATTTAGTCTTGGTCCTGTGTTAAGCAGCATTTTACATAGTAACATATTTGTGTGATGTTTATCAAAGGACATATGTGATCACACAAAACTGAAGTTAGACTGCTGTGTTTTCTAGCACTCAATTCAACTGCAAAATGTTGAATATCTTCAAAGCTCACTAATTTCAAAAGACTCCAAGAAGTTCAGCATTTTGTCAGGACCAAATCATAAATTCAATTGACACAAGTGAGTTTTTACAGGAGTTTTCAGCTACCGTGCTCTCTCTTCAGTTCATTTGAATGTGTTTGCAGCAAGTGGTATTTTATCAGATAGTATTTGATTATAGTGTTTGAATCAGATATTCAGTGAGGGGCTTTTTATTACTGAATTTTGTTTTATTATTTTCTTGTTCTCTCCAAATATTCAGGAAAACTCTATAGGATGTAGGTTTATGTAAACATGTCTGAGTACTTTCTGAACTAGGATTCACAAATTTCACTTCCATAAGATTTCAGCTGTTTGCCACTAGAGCTACACAAGAGTGAAAGCTCTTTCATTTCCACTGCAGTAGGTTATGAGTTTAAGTATTGGCTGTAGTGTTGCTACTCTTTGGAATTTGTGATTTTCAAGGTTTGAAAAGTTTATTGTTCTACATGGAAATGTGAAATGCATTCTGAAAAGTGAGAAGGAGACATCTGGATGAGTCTTCCCATTAAGATTTAATCCCATCAAACGTATTCAGAGTGCTTCAGTTGTTTGTAGAGGGGATTGAGCATGATGCATTTTTGCAAAACTGTTGATAAATAAAGATGCCACAGTAATTTTTATATGTGAGAGCTATCTATTTGATTGCTTCAGCTTTAAGGTAGTTCATCACTTCAGAGAAATTCACCCTGTGTTACCTCTTTAACTCCATACCACAGTTTCCCATCAGTTCGATTAGAAATGGCAATGCCTTTATCAGATTAGTCTTTCTTTCACTTTCTTCCTTTCAGTATCTCTGACCCCAGGACAAAACAAAGCTTGCCATGCAGACAAGCACTGGAATAGCAGTTGTGCTCCATAGTAAAGAGTCTGCAGCACAGATGAAGGTTGAAACCTTCTTATTTATTTTAATTGTCTGACTAATGCATATATATATATATAACCCAAGAAGTATAGATGCATAAATGAATATATTTGCCTCCTCTTAACAAACAATGAAACAATTGAAAAGGAGAAACAACAAAAAATGAAAAAAAAAAAATAGTTTCTAATTAACTAGGTACTTCCCACAAGCCTCTTTACACTGTTCACTTTAATTGATAAACAAGCATTTGTCCTTCCCTTTCTCCCTCCCTCTTTCCCTCCCTTCATACCTTCCTCCCTCTCTTACTGAATAGTGTGTACTTTGGAGGAAATTTTTCTGTTTCATAGGGGAACATTGAAAATCTGAAGTGAACTCATGAATCTGAAAGATATATAGTTCCCTAGAAATCTAGTGGGATTTGATAATTGACAGACTACTCACAGCAGTATCCAAAAATTAAAAGAATCACTGCAGTACCAGGGAAGTAGATGACTATAAGTCGTAATTCCTTAGAAAATAAATAATAATAATGATTATTCTAATTGCCTCATCAAATAAAGTCAATTTTGGTTGAAAAAAAATATGAATAGTAAAGCATCCATAGCTAAAATATATCAAAGCGTCCTCGTAGCTGTTTTCTACAATTAAATAAAGTATCTTCAGCATGAAGCTAGAGATGCACAATTCTTGCTTCTCAGACATGGAAACACAGATGTTTTGTTGACATTTGTACTGATTGAATCCACTTGCATGGAAGAGAAAAATACTTTTGGGCATTTTCATACAGCATGGCTAAAGAGGCCTATCAAATATCTTCAGGAAGCAGCAGATACTGGGAAGAAACTGTAAAACCATCTTGCAGAATGTTACTATGCCACTTGTCTAATGCATAGAAAGATTGTAACTTAATACTTTGACACTCAGTGCTATCTGTTCACCTTAAATACTTCATAGATCTTGACAGTCAAACAATGATGTTATTTATTCCTATATCACATACACAGGCCTACATGCCACGTGTTAAAGATTCGAAGCATTTGTGCTAATAATCTTTGGGTTTAACCACTACTGGGGATCACTGCACTTATAAAAAGGATTCAGGCATAGTCATTAAAATTGAATATTTTTCTGCTACAAGTTGCTCACAGGATCTCATATCATGAGAATTTTCTGTGATACTTGAAATGTCTGGTAACATTTCTTCTCAAAGAATCTATCTGCTGTTATCCTGTGGATTAAAGATCTTTTGGTGTTGCTGCCCAATAATTTTGTTTGAGTCCTACATAAATGATGTCATTAACACAGAAAATCTCTTAATTTAAGCAATCTAAGGGCTGTCTTCTGGGCTGATCCAAGACACTCTCAACACTCCTCATAGAAAACATTTAGCTTGTAATGCCCTCTAGAGGCAGAATTACTATAGTAGTATTGACTACATTTTGATTTACTCTGCACACAGTTTTCAGGTCCAAATTTGATACTGTAGCTTTCAAGCAAAAGGGCATTTTTTGGTTGGTTAGTTGTTGTTGTTTAAAATAAGCCACACTTCAAATTGCACAATAGAAGAGGTCTGATGGTAGGAGCACTGTGAGTGATCTAGGTCCCTCATTCTGGATTTATAGTGAAGGCTGTGTGCAGCTGAGCTGTGACCACATTTAAACTGCAAAGTAAAATAATGATGTTTGTAAACAACAACACAGTTTGACATACCAATGCTTGACACTGTATGAGGCTCTGAGAAGATCAAATTTCAAAAATATCTCCAAGAGATTACAGGTATTCCAAAAGATGTGTTTGCAACATGTCCTTCATAAGTCAATGGTCCTCAATTTAATGAATTCCATATGTGCTGCATAGAGTACTCTGTTAGAAAGATGAGGAGCTTTGACTCTTAGGACAGCCATAGGATCCTGTATTCAGAAAAGCAGAGACCAAAAAGCAGAGAAAATACGTAATTCCTTAACTGTAAAATTTGGGTATTGAAACACAAACTCTACAAACATAAAGGAGTCACGCTCTTGTCATCAGAAACAGAATTTGGACCTTGGAGCTTAATTTCTTCACTGCTTTCTTAATACATTTTTTTTTTTCTTTGCTTTCTTTTACTAGTTGACAAAGATTTCTGATAATTCTGGAAAAATGTCAGCAAAGAATATCAGACACTGCAAAGCTGGCTTGGCTTCATATTCTTCCATCTTTTAATAGTTCAGCTCATTAATGAGAAAATCATCTGGCTGCTGGCACAATCAGATACAGTCACTTATCAGTACATTGAGTTCAGTTTATAGTACTCCGATTCATATTCATGATCAGAGGATGCAGTGGAGCAATTCATTAGTGCACTGCTGCATTAAGCAATCACTGCCAAAGTGTGACATATTGAGAGTTTGCATTAAACTGCTTCCTTTGAGGATCTTTTGGTTAAGAAATTCCTAAATGCGGAAATCTGTTGAGATAAACCATTCAGGCACTTCAAGAAAAAGCTTTGATGCTCCATGTATATAATGGTTGGTTAAAAAAAATATGAAACAGCACTGACCAGTGCTGTTGTATGTGTGGCAGGTAGGATTCTCACATGTAAGTTAAGAGTACTGTGATAGCCAATAATGCACATGGACTAGATTAGAATTGTCCCAAACTGAACTCTCGTATCTCTTTACTACTTTATGCTGTTTAATGAATCTTAATATTGCTTTTGTTTTGGGTGAAACTATTCAACAACATAAAAAAGAACCTAACCATCTACATAATGTATCTCTGGTTACTGTACAAATAAAGGGCACTTGCAATTACAGGCTTTATGTTCTCATATCATGAGAACTATCTTTAAAGAGGGACAATGTTTGCCAGTTATTAAGACGTGCTTCTTGTGAAAAGAAGATGAGAACAGGTTTAGTTGCCATTTTTACTTTTTCTCCATACATTTGTGGCATGGTGGTGGTGGTAATTCCTCATCCACATGCTTCATTTGATTCCACCATATCATTTTCTAGTAACAACAGTTGTTCTTCCAGTTTATTGCCACTTCATTAGATTTATAGTCTAAGCTACTCTGGTGGAGAGGTAGATAAAGAAAGAACTGTAGATTTTAATCATTTGCAAGCAAAACAAGTGCTAAACTTTCTTTTAATATATTCTTAAAGTAACTTCTCTCTTGAGCAGGATTCTCAGTTTTTCTTGATGATATTGCTGATATTGTGGCCAAAATCTAGGCAAGTGAATCACTGTGCATAGGATGCAAAACCAATGTGAAACAGACTGTCCATACTTTACATTTTTGTGGCTATAACCATCTCACACATGCCTA